TGTAGAATGAATATTTGGATATTTATATTGATTATATTAATATTTATATATATGTATATAAATATTTTCAATAATATAATATATATATGTATATTATATTTATATATATGTATATAAATATAATACTTAAACGTAAATACAAAAGAAAATAATATATTGTTTGATCGGAAAATACTAAATTCTGTACAACTTTCGATTGTCTTTCATGCGACTAGAGACATTTTTTTTGTAAAATGCTGTTTCTCCACAATTATAGCCGATAATGCAAACTGTAAATATTACATTTAAAATACAAGCATTTTAATGCTCTAAAGCATAGCTAATATATTTCTTTTGGCATATTTCATACAAGATAATATGCAATCATATTTATCATTCAATGAATAAATTCTGTCCAATTTAAAATGTAATAATTGATCGTTCTTTTTCAAGTTCGCGAAAGCATTCTTTTGGATAAAAAACAATCCATTCTATTCTGTCTCTGAAAAATTTTGAAAAATTCAGCGAAGAAATCGTTGGAACTTGGCTATTTCTTGGAAAATTGTTACATCAAAAAGTATGTATTGAAGGAGTAGACGTAGAATTGCGACTTAAACCTCTGTTCCTGTTTTAACAATATACCATACAGTTTACGAATGGTAAGTAAAGTCGGCGTTAATAAAATTCTAACAAATGGGTTTATTGATGTTTAAAAAAAAAACAGTATATTAATGAAAACGATGTAACATACGTAAATAAAAAATAAATAGAGAAAATAGATGTTTTAGAAAGTTAAAGATAGAGAGAAAATTATGATGATGCATGAATTGCGATTGCGAGTAATAAGTATCGGGACAAAACAAAACAAAAAGATTTTGGAATTTGGAATTTCAGTTGACAGCTAGTAATTTCCAATGATTTATCGAACAGATTTCTTCGATTACACTTTTGCTTTTTAAACTGTATATCAATTTTATATGTTGTACATAAGGCTGAAGTATTGTTGTTTACAAAAAAATCATGGCTATTAACATAAGCTCGTCACGAGATCTGTGAATGTCAGAAAACGCTATCAATCATTGCGTGCGCGCTTACGAGTGTAAAATTGATGAATTTTAAATAATCCTTTACTGTATAATTATTTTTTATTCTATAATCATCGTTTATTAAATAATTTTTATAAAAAAAATAATCTGTATACATTTGGAGTATTCTGTACATGAAATAATAATAATTTGCAAAATTGATAAATCAGTCGAAGTATCCGCTGATTATAGGAGCATACAGGAACAAAAAGTAATTGTATAATTACATTTACTTTAAATTTACTGCAAAAATTTGTATAAATTATCTTAATAATGCTTCATAGGATTTTCTTTTGATTTTACAATAGCTGCAATTCTTCTAGGTATCGAATTTACTAAATTTGCTGTTATGCAGAAAGGGATCTCTAAAGGTGCATTTTTTAGATTATTTTTTGAAGAAATTTGATACTTTTTAATTTTATATTCTAGATAATCCCATAAATGTTCAATAGAATTAATGTCTGACAATTGTGGAAGCGTTTTTAAGTATGTATGTGATCTATTGTGAAGGATCCACATTCTCGTATTAAACACAATATATTTTGGATCATTGCATAAATCATGTATAAAAATATTGTTTTTAATCCCCATTTTTTCAATACTAAAGAAAAGATTATGTAAAGTCTCACTTTTAAAGTCTCGATGGATGCCAATATTATGTATACTCATATAATTTCAAACAATTATGCAACCACCACGGTGTTTTATAATAGGTAGTAAATTTTTTGAATTCAGTTTTTCATTTTCTTTTCTCCATACAGTGCAATATCCATTCGATCCAAAAATATTAAACTTACTTTCGTCCGTGAAAGCTACTCTGTTCCAATACTCCATTGATGTGTTTATATTATATTATTCTTTGCAAATTTTAATCTTCCTTTTTTGTCTGCATCACTGATAAAATATTTTTTATATTTTCAGGCCGCTATATTGTAATAATCTTCATTTTTAAGCTTCATTCAACGAAGCTACGCAAAACGCTAGCAGATAAATCAATGTTTAAATTATTTTTTAAATGCACCGCAATACTTATTGCAGTTATTTTTGGAGTTTGTTAAATTATTCTAATAATAACGCGACCAGTATACTGATTGATTTTTAGTAGACATTTCTTGGCCTATTTTTTCGAGTTTTTTTAAACCCATACCTATCAATTAAACTTTGTATAATAGATCTTGGTAACAATTCGTGAAATATCTGTTAAACTTTTACACTGGATGTATGCGCATGCGCACTCTGTGTGTGTGTAAATTAATAATATTTTTTTTTTTTCTATTGTGAGTTCTTTTCCGGCCCATTTTTCAACAATATTTTTAAATAGTGCAAAGTCATAGATGCTAGTGACATAGATGCAACGTTTCTCTACACTGGTACAATTAATCATTATTAGAAAGTGGTGATTATATGATGTTTACATTATAAACCTAATCTACAAGATTAAAAAATTCTCTTATATCAAGAGTATAATTCTCTTATATCAAGAGTATAATTCTCTTATATCAAGAACGAATAGTTCCGCTATATTTCTACTGTATATTTCTACTGATTTATCAATTTTCTTTGTTAATTTCACAAATTATGCAAATGATTGATACTTTTGTAGTCAAACATCTCAAAAACAAACATCAGTCATATTTCTAATTCGCGATTATATTCTCTTACGTGTTGTAAACATTAGTAAGTAAATAATTTTTAATCATATTATCTTTTGAATATTATCAGTTAAACAATTTTTTAAAATACTTATTTATCTATTTATGAATCTTAAAATTATATATAAATATAAACAAACAAAATGTTATTATTCAATTAATTTCAACATATGGATAATAAATACGTATTTTGCTCTTGTTTTTACTATTTCTGTAATTATTTTGTTGCAAATTTATCATTACGTTTTAGAAATTTATTTTATAATAGTTTCATATTTTGATAAACATATGTTAACATTATATGTGATATTTTTTCAGATACTAATAAACATAAAATTACAGAATAATTTTTATTTAATTTTCTTCTTTCTTCTCCTATATTATAAAAATATTTGCACACTTGTCGTAATAAACATCTTTTATATGTGTCTAGTGAATGTAATATAATACATTTTGAAATTTCATTAGCACCATAATGACACGTGACTGGCAAAATTTATGAGAAAATATATAAAAGTTACGAAAGCATTTACATATACGTACATATAACGACAAGTTCGTGTATAATAAGAAACATACATAAGGTAATAAATGCTAAGAGTTAATAGGTCCACTGATATTGAGATTCATTAACCTAGTAGTTAACTGATTGTTTAAATCTTTTGTGATCTTTACATCAAATATCTCATGAAAAACGTTGTAGGATATCCCACGATTCGCGGACATCCGCGGTGATTGAGAGATGATTCTCTCAGTTGTAAAAAAATAAATTGAAAAGAAAAAATACAATATTTTTTCCCAAAGATTATATGAGTTAATAATGTTTTTGTTTCTGAAAAAATGGATTTGAGATATTTTTTAAATTAAATTAACTTAAATATATATAAATTAAATTAAGTCCTTAACAATTTATTCCAAATAAGATACAGAGAGCATCAGGTACCAAACAGTTTATTTGTAATATTCTTGAGTTATTATTTATGAAATGAATGTATCTAAATTTTTAATAGTGAAGGGAACTCAATTAGACAATGCAGCTCAATATGAATTTGTGTAAAAAAAAAAAAACTAAAAATGGAACAAAATACTATTGCCTGCAATGTTATATTATGTATTTGGTGTTTCAAAATTTAGTATACATATACTTATTAGAAAGAAACTTATAAACTATATCTTTTTACATTTTTATTGTATGAATGTATTTAAAAATATGAAAAAATTACACATTTTTAAAAAATCTTATTGTATATCTTACAGTATTAAGGGGTTATTTTTCAGACGTAGGAAAATAATTGAAAAATATATAAATAATAGAATTTTTTATAAGACGTTTCGTTTTTAACAAAATTCAATTTGAAAATTTATCAAATATGGATATGCTAAGGTTATTTTTAATAGAATATATTCGAAGCCTAGTTTCTTAAAAATGAAATCTTAAATGAAAAAATTTTCTACTATCTTTTACTTATTTTTGTATATAAAACATACTCGGTTATTCGTTTTTCTTTAGTATAGAAGTAGCCAAATTCAAGCATATTTGACAAATTTTCAAAATCGATTTTCTTGAAAATAGAGCATTAATGAAAAAATTTTACTGTTTCTTTTCGATTAATTTTTACGATTTTTACTTAGAATCACTTTGCCATTGCACATCGGTTATCCACAAATCGCAAAACATCCTACATATTTCTTCGTTATATTTGATTTATTTCAAACTATTATAATTATAATAATCCAGTTTCATGATAGTGATTAAATAATTAAATTTTATATATTACAATAGATGTAATACGTTTATAAAAGATATTCATAATGAAGTATTGAAGTTTGATAAATGTTTACAACTATAGCACAAAATATAATAATTAAATTGTTAACAATTTATTTATGTATTAATTGATGTTATAATAAATCAATGTCGCAGTGTCACAGAGAAAGTCATATAAAAATTATTATATAATTATATCAAGAATGTTTTGTTAAAAATTTCCAACTGAAAAATTTTAAACTCAAATCGTCATGGTAAATGGCAAAATATAAAACTAATTAAAAATAACGTCAGCTCTTAATTACTAAATAAAAAATAGATACGAATAGTAAATTGCAAATATAATTATGATTATACGAAAAAGTGTAATAAAGATAATATACGCATAAAGATAATTATGATTACATGAAAGAAGTGTAATTGAGCTTTTACTGATTCAAGATTAATACAAGTAATAAAAGTATATGATTGTTCAGTAAATAAGCAGAAAAAGAGTAACGATTAAACATTATTTACCAGCTTTCGAAGCGACATTACGAGGACACAAAAACATGCAGAGCAAGCAGCAAAGCCACGCAATCGTTGTCCTTGCCTGAAAAAAAAAAGAAAACGAATTCCGATAAATTTCTGGCGTCGAACGAATTGCTTTTAAAAGCAATATATAGTGCATTAACGTATCTTAAATTATTCGACACAATGCTTTATTTGATTTCCGAATTGCCTTGTTCATAATGCTATTATACGAAAAATACTTATAAATACATATAAATTAACGAATTAAGCAAAAATATCTTTGATACTGATCTGAAGTTAGTGTATTTTGTATACTAAATCGTAATATAATTACTATATTTATGATTAATAGTGCTAGTGATCGTTATTTGAAACGATATAAACTATTTAAACCTACAAGAGATATATGTATAACTTAATTTGCCAAATTTTTATCAAGAAAAAAATGACTCGCAACCATTACGAAATAATTAATAACATGTACATATTTCTGTCTTTCATTTTCGCAACCCTCTTAACCTTTAAAGAATCAACAGTTTTTAAAAAACAGTCGTTTGCTTTCTCAAAATATTTATTACATGCATCTTGTATGTTGCGTAGAATATGAAAATGCGTACAATAGATTAACTTCGCCAATTTGAAACAGTAATATAATTTCGAACATTTCTAAATTTTACAAATAGCGTACTTCTAGAAATTCTTTATATCATCGATTATGAATTTGTAAAATATAATGTTAACCAAAACGAATGAGTATACAGAATGTCCAATTTAACTAGAAAAGCTCAAATATATTGAAAAATACGAATAATAACAAGAAAAAAAGATTTAGATAAAAGTATAGTATAGTACAATGTATGGTACTTACATATAGTATAGTACAGTAATACTATACTGTATATAGTATAGTACAGTGCATGGTACTTACATGACTTAATATTTTAAGTGGTCATTAATTAGTCTATAGAAGCCACAAAAGTGGCTTTTTTAAGAGTTAAAAAATTTAAAAATAGCGTATCGTTTTCAGGAACTCGAACTTCGATGCAAATATCTAGATTCTAAAAGACTCAACCTTATTCGGATCCTTTCATAAAGAACAATATGCGAAAAGAGTGCTGTAATTACAAGCTAGACATAAATAAAGGAAGATCGGAAGAGTTTGATAGAAATAAGGGGTCAATTGTAATTACAATCTTTCCTCCTTAACGACGATCACGGTTCAAAACTTGTGCGTATTTTTGTGCAGAACAGGACACGACAGGAAGCAAAAATATCTAACTCACATCCTCTCTCACTTACCTTTCACGGAGAATTTTATAAGGAGCAAAATCAATAGCATGTAGCCTATGCGAAGTCTATGTTAATGTAGTATCAATGCACGATGTATAATAAGCACGCTGTGTTTGCGATGCTTATAAAAATTCTTGACGAAGGGAAACAATGTTATCGACACCGTGTCATCTTTGCTTATATTCGGACCCATGTTTCTCACCTGGATGCGTGCGCATTCTCATCAACGCGTTTACATATTGCAACGCCTTATTCTTACCAAACTATCGATAGATAATAGCCAACTTCGCGCTCAGTTTATCTCTCTCTCTCTCTCTCTCTCTCTCTCTCTCTCTCTCTCTCTCTCTCTCTCTTTCTTTCTTACATGCGCGCGCACGACGAAACAATGCAATATAATAGGGATTTAGACAATTGGTTCGAATAATAGCAGAACTACGTAACAGAGTATAGAGTATTTAGGCTTCTACGAATTAACCTCTTGCGCTGGAATGACGTGCCACGCACGTCGAGAATATTTGACCTAAAATTACAATATTTTCTCAGTTTTAAGTATATTGAAATACCGATGTTATATACCGATGAATTCAAAAAGAAGACGAATTACTATATACGGTTTGGTCACTCGTTATGGTCCGTGAACTAGTTACTAGTGCAAAAGGTTAAAACTACTATTACTAACAGTGCAGCGATCAAAGTGTTAAGATATGTTTGTAGTCTTTAGTTTTTCTAAAAAATCACGAGCAAATAGTATATACTAGGTACAAATAATTTACTTTACTTTTATTTTAAATTTTAATTCCAATAAAATTACACCCAAATTATAAAATTATAAATCGTATAAATATTGATTAGAAAAATTTATACATTACACGTGAAAAGAACGAGGAGCTAACCGGATACAGAGGCATATCCGGTATTGTAAGATCCGGTAATTGACGTAACGAGTAGCAGTAAGTCCATTGAACGATCAAAATAAGTAGAGGGAAAAATGTGTTCCAGCCTCATGCGCATTCGCAGTTTACAGCTGGTGAAACTGCCTCGATAATTTGGCGCCTTTCCTTTGTTTTCGCGAGTTTCTTACGACGAAGAATGCATAATTAACTAGATACTTCCCATATTTTCTGCTTGGCGTACATCCACTCGCCTGCTTGGAATGGAAATTTTAAGTATACTCCATAATTTCTGAGAATTACATCATTAAAATCTTTGAGAATGTTAAGAAAGATTGATGAACAAGACAAGCTATGATTTAGTAGCGTATAAACATTAACTATAACCGTATTATTAACATCGTGAAAACAGGTAGCAAACGAACAGGATACAAGTATTTCGTGAAGCGTGACAGAAAGTTAAGAAGAGTTATATATTTATGTTTCGAAAAAATATGGACTCGGATCAGATTCAGATACTAATATTTCTACATTTTACGTATCGTTTGATCACTATATGTAGTGAGATATTACTTTCTTCATTAGCAATAAATTTCCATCGAACTCAACGTGCTACCTTGTAATTAAAATTGAACATCGTGTTTAATGCAAATTTTGTTTAGGTTTAACTGTATGTAAATGTTATGCTTTGATTACTTCGAGTGTTTTTCAATTATCTGAGAATAATTGAAATCCGTATTCGTATCTATAACTTCATAATAATGAGTTCATAATACAGTATTTAAGTATTCGTACCATATATTACATACGAAATAGAGTTTCTTATCAGACCATATCGAGTTCCTCATCTGTTCGTGTTCTTACTGCACTGTTATCTTGAGTATTATGCAAGTATTCTAGATTTCACATCGTCCAAAGAAATTCTCATACATACGCATCCTATCTACATTCACATTTTACAGCTTTCATTCGTATAATTATTTTAGCGTTATCAGTTTCATCAAATCTTCCTTATTAAAGAATATATAACTGCGTGAAGCAAGTTTCGCAGCCAATGCGTGGGCGATGATTTATCAATTTCTGCGTGTCTAACGTGACAACGTACTCACCTTTATTATTTACCAAATATTGAATACAAATTTCATTTGTAATAAAAGTGCGAAGAACTTACGATGAAATAAAATTTAATAACGATCGCTTTTAAAATACTTTTATCGTATTTTTATAAATAATAAAAGCAGTGCAAAATAAGCAGTGCAAAATTCAAATATATAGGATATCCCTGCTTTTTCCGCCATAACTTTACCAGTAGATTCTATGAATGAAAATAAGAAAAGAATGTCATATGTTCTAACTATATCCACAGATTTCATCGAGTGGATAATGTCATATTCCCTAAAATTTCTGACTTTAATTCATTTGGTAGAAAAATTCAACTACCAAGCACAGCTTGTGTAAAGAGAGTAGATAAATATTGCCGATCCGTTATGTTGTATCCAAGCGAAAACTTATGATGTTATTTCGAATTTTCGTTATAGTTCCTTAGCTAAGAATTTTTAAGCATATATTTATACATTTTCTTCTTATTTCCACTTATAGAATCTATTGGCAAAATTATGTCGAAAAAAGTAGGGACAATCTATGTTATATAAATACATGTAAATAAAAAGAATTTTATTAAAAATATTAATCAAATGACTCGTAATAAACGAGAAGTAATTTTTTTTACCATTTCCAATTGTTTCGTTAAAACAATTTATCCTTACGGCAAAATCATAAATCTCTAAATATGTAAAACACGAACATCAATACAGTGAAACTCTACGCTTTCTACGCTATCGCTTTAACGAATGTCAACTTATCGATAAAGGTACAACAAGTTAGATTTACCGAAGCATTTCCAGCCGAAACGTTCGGTACAATAGTTTCCCCGTCAACTCTATTCTTTTTCGTAGTAAAAATCACGAAAGTCAAGATTACACGATTACGATTACGTGATACTGCAATTCCCATTCCCAACACGTTTTCACAACAGCTGAATTACTTTGCTTTCTACTATCTGGCTTATTAATCGCGAAACTGTCCCAGGCCAATGTTATCTAAGTCGGAAGTAAATCAAGCATGCGCGTAGTAGATCGTGGCAAAATGCTAGTGATTAATGATTAAAAAATCCCATCTCGTGATTAAAAAAGATGGATTGTCATCGGTTAGCTTCCGTCACAGATAAATCAATAATCATAAATTGTAATACTTCCTACCATAGAGGATTTATCATATACAGAGTGTCTCAGGACGAGTAGTATAACCAAGTAGAAGACGATTCTACGTGAAAAACTGAGTACGAAAAGTAAAATTTTTTCTTCAGATTCGTTTCGGAGGAAATTGAGTTTGAAAATTTACCCAGCATGCTGGAATTTGACTAATTTTAAACGTAACAAAGAAGAACAATTTTGAAAAAATTTCATTCTTTCTTTTCGATTTGTTTTCTTCACATAGGGACTGACATACATACACACTCTGTATACATGTATGTAATAGTGAAAAGTTATTGTCTCCCACAACATTATAAAAAAATCATCAAAGCAGGGTCGTTCAGTTTTTAGATAATTATAATATTTCTGTCAAAATATTTGCTTTTATCGATCTCGTTACTTCTATTCAGATTACTCTTACAGTAATACGTTTCACTAGGCGGCAGATGGGCAACAGTGTACGATTGGTCGAACGATTCCGCTATAGCACGCGTTGGTCAACGTTGAGAAAGGCGAGCGCAACGTGGCTGGCAGTTTTACAAGCTTGCGATTACCGAACGTGACTGCAGAAAGCGATGTAACACGAACCGAACGAACGATATTCCTATGAGTATGTGTAGGTCTGCGTAACGTATAACCGGACGAGT